CAGTTAGCCACAAATGCACCATTCAGACACACTCACATAAACTGTATTAATGTATGTACATGTACATGTACATCCAAGTACTAGCACATCAATTTATGTGGACATTGTACTACAAGCAATCTAATTTTTTATTTACAAAACTTTTATTGGGTATTCTATTCTGTGGTTGTTCTGCAGTATTTAATTTCATTATTCTTAGGTATCAAGAAATATTAGTGGGTGATTATGAGGTTGACAGCCTTGAGAGGTAAAATAATAATAATAATAATAACAATAATAAAAATAATAATAATAATTGTGTATTATTGTTCAATATTAGGTTGGTATTACCATCTGCTATAGAGAAGGAAAGGAGGAAGTGTATTTTTGAACATTATAGGGACACCACACTCTCAGCCTGTGAGTACATGTACATGTATGCATGTATACATTATTGGTTTTTAATTTACATGTAGTGTTTCTGGAGCTAATGGTTAGAGTATTTTAGTAAGTTACGTAGGATGATAAAGATAATTGAAGAACCACTCCAGGTTAGGATAGGTTTACTGAGGGTAGTAGCCATGTTTACTGGATCATTCTTTATCCTCTTTCTTCCTGTCTTTTGTTCTCTCTCTCTCTCTTCCCTTTTATTCAATGAAGTCTGGTTTATATGATGTCCTCCCTACTACTATTGGAAGGTTTGGTTCCTGAGGATTTGAGACTTTTGCTCTGTGGGTGTCAGCAGGTTGAACTTGATGCACTCAAAAAGAACATTCACTAACGAGACTTGTAAGTGAAAGTAATACAAACGATCTAATTAGTTATTTTTACTAAGTAATGAATAAATATTATTGAATAATATTTATTGAATAAATTACCAATACATTTATTGAATAAATGTATACACATGTGTATGTACAGATGTACATGTTGGTAAATTGTGTCTGTTTTCTGTACATGCACTTGTGACCTTAAATGTAATTTAATTATTGTTTGGGAAAGGAATTAAACCTATACATGTAGCTTCTTGGAATTTGATAATTTTGAGTGAAGATAAGCAATTGTGTACATGTACATTGTAAATGGAGATACATGTACATGGTTTTTGGCCTAATTTTATCAAAATGACTCAGAAAAAATTTTCCATTTTTATTACATGTATGTTTTCCAATGTACAATCGTACTTTTAAAACTGCTTGAATATCTTTGTGACTTAAACATCATGTACATGTAATAGTTTAATGACAGTGATAGTCATTAATATCAAAAATCTCCCACAATAGTAATTGTACTTCAATTGACCCAGTTGATATATGTTTTCCTTATATTACTGTAGATGAGGCACCAGTCCCAGGTCCTTCAAGGTGTCATACTGTAGGGATCACTCTACTCTCCTCTCTCTTTCTCGCCTCTTTTCAGAACAGTAAGGATATATAACCTATATACAATGTACATATGTGACCATAATTGACAAAAGGTACCTTATGGCGGGTAGTGAAATTTGACTTTCTAGCCTAAAAAATCCAACTTCCTGAGCTTCATTTATCATAAAATTACTCCGGAGGATGTAAAAAGTTCCTATGTAACTTTTAGAAACAATGTTTGTCCAACAGAGGACTCACAGGATGATATTTTTCATTTTAAAGATGAATTTTAAAATCCGCCATAAGGTACCTTTTGTCAATTATGGTCACATATACATAGCCATCTGCTTTTCTCTGTTAATAAAGGTTATCTTCATCAAAAAAGTAAACACAAGAAGCACCGCAGAAGAGCCAGTGAGGAAGAGACTGACCATCATAAGACTCACTCAACTAAAAGAAGTACACTCACACACTATAGTACAAAGTAAATTTATTAATATTTTAATAACTTTATTTATTATTATAGATGTTTCTTGAATGGGGGAGACTAGGCCTTGATGATGAACTGAGGACTTTAGTAGTGGACAGTTATCTTTATTGTTATTATTATAAATTTTTTGAATGGCCTTTTGTTAAAAATAGTTAGCCTATGCAAACAAATGGAAACATGCATGCATATTAGGTTGTGTAGAGCTGGTCAGGAAGGGATCAAGTACATAATCAGTTGTTCCCAATCTTGGCAATTCTGGTGTCCTCACATATTGCATTTTAGTGCTATAAACTACCACCAATTTGGCTCACATTCACTAGCTCTACTTTAGTTGATAAAGTTACATGTTCACTTGTAAGTACAGCAAAATTTTGTGTAAAAACAATCGTTTGAAATCAATCCAAAATTAATATTGTACATTAACAAAAATTAAAAACAATGTGTTTTCACAATACATATAAGTCAGTAATAATCACTGTTTTGTTAAACTCTTAACTTCAGCTACAATGTCATGTCTTCCAACATCTTCTAGTGCTGATATCAATCCTTCACAAGTAGCTGATCCT